ACTGCTAAAACCAGTTTTTGAATATCATTAAAGAGGTGGCAAAGTCAACAGGAGCCAGTCCTCTGATACCGGGAGTAAATAGTCTAGATCTGGACCAAAACCAGTTCAGCCCTTAGCATGGCAATTTCAAGGGTCTAGAACACCATTTTTATTGCAGAGTTATGAAGAAATGAATTTGTATTTTGCCTTGGACACTCATAATTACACTTTAAATCTAACAAAAAGCAGGCAAGATATAAGACAGTTGTAGGAAAGAAAGCAAATATGGAATCAATCTTGCAGCAAGAGCCCAGAAATTGCTGTCCAATAATGAAACAAATTGAAGAGAGAAAATCTGTAAACATTTAGAAAGACAGTGAAATCATAAGCAATGAGGAGAAAGATTTGTGAATATAAAACCCTGCCAAATACAAAGTCCTCTTCTCCCTTCCATACTAGGATTTCAAAATTATTAGAGGAAATAAATGTTTTTGAAAGCCACCCCACATTTGGGAACAGCAACCGATAATGAGTATAGGAAAGAATTATAGCAGTCTTTAAACCAAGAAGGGAACTTGGAGAACAGCGAGCCCATTCATCTCATGCAGCAGATGAAGAGAGACTCGGGGGGCTAAGACATTCATCCACGTTAACTTCCAACTCCCCATCTGCAAAGTCGTTTCTATTATGCTGCACTCTGCTATTGTTTGCACACAGGAATAATGAATCTGAACTGAAATTGTGGATAATAATCATTAGGACAAAATGAAATCAGATGGTCAGTAGATGTAAAAAACCACAAAGACTATAGCATACAAATGGAAGAGGGATACTAAAGTTACAGCACCTGATGCCATCAGTGGAGCCTGGATCATGATGCATGTTTATGAAGTTGGTCATAGCATAAAACCCAGAGAACTCACTCACTCCCCCATGCTGTTAGAATGGTAGCAAGCAGCAGGAACCTTCCAGGGAAAAGATGAATATAAGGTCTCCCATGAGCACGTCTCTTACCCTCCCACAGTTATGAAGGGGAAATTGAAGCCCAAAGAGGGAAATCAGAGCTCCCTCCAGTCGTAAGATTCCACAAAATATTTTCTTTTTGCCATTGACAATTCACAATCTTTTAACTACCTTGTGTTATGGCAAAGTAGGCTAAGTAGCATTAATAAACCTCATGTATTCATTGCTCACTTCAAAAATACAAATTCATGATCAGTTATGTATCACCAATGCATGTATCTTCCTCCTCTCTTCCTGTTTTGAAGCTCATCTCAGAGGTTTGCATATGATTTCATCTTTATTTCAGCATGTATTTCTGCAGCAAGGTACTTAACAAAAACAGATGATCATAATGCAATGATCACACGTAAGAAAATGAACAGTTATTGTATCATGAAATTCCCAGAGTTCGAATTTTTATGTAACTCATGATTTAACAGTTTGTTTAAATTGGTTTCCAAATAAGGTCATCTTATCTTTAATCTCTTTTGTAATTTACAGTTTCTCCCTCCACTCACCCTGCAGTTTATTTGCTGGAAACACAGAATTGTTTACCTAGAGTTTCCCATGGTCACCATTTTATTGATTGAATCCCTGTAAGTCTTCTGTCCTCTGTATTTTGAAGTGGTGCAGCCTGGAGCTGTGCTGCCTAATACCGAAACTACTAGTTTCAGGTAGCTGATAAAACTAAATTAAATTTAAAACTCCAGTTTCTCAGTGATACCAGTCACATTTCAAGCACTCAGAAGCCACATGTGGGTAGTGACCATAGTATGAGTGTAGATAAAGAATATTTGCATCACTCCAAAAAGTTATGGAAAGTTCTACTCTGAAAGTTCTATTCCAGAGGATTAATGAACTTTTATGAGGTAGCTGTGGTAGGAAGTAGATGTCAAAATCTCCACCAATTCTTTGGCTCACAGTTGGGTTCTCTCCCTGATGTGTCATTCATAAGCACCCCAACTGGACACTAAAGATGAAACAAAAATTAGAAGGACTAAAGGGATTCATGTGTTTTTCAGCTTATATGAATGGTATACTTACAAATACTTTGGCAATTACCTTCTTACTCGGATCTTTTTTGGATGTAACCCTGTCGATATATTTATATGTAGCTTATTCATTTTAAGAGACTATATAAAGTTCCGTGTCTGAGTGCATCACCATTGATTTACTCTTAATTAACATTTATATTGTTTCAGTTTACTGTAGCATACTTTTTATTCATTTTTTTTTTTTACAGGATCTAACTATATCATTCAGGCTGGCCTGCAGCTCACTGTATAGCTCTGGCTGGCCTTGAATGTGTGGTAATCCTCCTGCTTCAGCTTCCCAAATGCTAGAATGGCAGGCATGCTCCACTATCCTTGGCCCATACACTAAGCTTTAAAGGGTACCCTCAAATGTCTTGTGCCTCCTGTGACACGGAAGTAAAGGAGGCAAAGGTGATTGCCCACTGTCTAAAATGATTTGCCAAGTCACATTCTCATTAATCTAGAAGAATTCCCAGTTCTTACCAACCTGAGGTAGTATCAGACTTTATTGTTGCCAGTATGGGTCCAGAGATTTGCAACAACAGCAATAATAATAATAATAACAATAACAATTAATAATAGCACATGAAAGAAAGGGAATGGAATAGAAAGGGGAGCAATGACTTAGCTCAATCTATAATGTTTTGTTTCTTTAAAATGAGAAGGTAAATAGCACAGAATATGAACATCTCAGTGTGAATGGCAAATGGAAAGGAGATGATCATGACAGCACCTACTAAGGTGCCTTAGGGGAATTCCTTTTGGCCTTTTTTATTGATTGACATTTTACTCTAAAAAGAAAATGCTTAGCAGGACAATCCACTAGTTATACTTGCACCCCAAATAACTTCCAGCTCATGGAGCATTTCAATCAGACTTTATGCAGTTACATAATGCCAATTAACTGATTTATTTTATATTTACTGTGTATGTCAGAAAAGTTATTTACTTTATATTTAGCATCCTTTGTTATATACCACATAGTATTTTCTTCTGCAGTGGTGATATAAAGAGAAGGCATAGTGATAGTGGGTTTTGCATTTGAAAAAATGTTAAAAGTTTTGTAGAGTACTTCTGACTAGTTTTCATTTACTTGTGGACTCTGGACAAGTTAAATTACTTGGCCCTCATATGGAGGGCTGCTAACCCTTTGTGTCCCTATATTTACATTAGTTGCTTTAAAAATCCAAATTTAAATTCTTTTAAAGGATGACACAATAAAGTAACAGTGATTACTCTGGTATGTCCGTGGAAAGTAACTTTTAAATCCTCTCCATGTCCAAAGCTCCATGCTAAGCCCAGGAAGGGAATAAAGCCGGACAAAAATCAGTCACTGCGTCTGAGAACTGATAACTAAGCACCCCCCCCACCCCCTTTTTAAAGACTAACTACAAAGTTTTATTTTTATGGTCAGAAGCTAACTCTGGCTTTGTTCTATTTTGATCTTTATAACTTATTTTAAAGATCGCTCAGTAGTTATTCATTGCTCAGTCAGTCTTGCTGACCCCTGGCCAAAAGCAGAAACATTTTGACCTGGCCTATGCAACTCATTGCCTCCCACTCCATGAAGCTAGTGGCATAAATAACTTCAAATAAAACCCTCCTGGAGATCTGTGGTGGCCACAGCGTGTGGGAGAAATGAGGCAATAGGGAAAAGAATGAAGCAGGAGTGCCCAGGGATAAGTGAAAGCTGCATCTCTCCTCAAGTTTTTTTTTCTTCTCTGCCTTTAAGATAGTCTGTTTTTTTACTACTAGATGAAGTAAACAGAAGGCACAACTAAGACGCTAATATAAAATATGTACCCCTCTAGGACTACGTCTTTTAAGTGAGATTCCTTGGGGTTGATCATTTAAGGTAAATCACAATAGCAAAGGCTTCAGAGGGGGATATATTTTTCAAGTGTACAGGTGACCAGAGGGAGTGGCTGTTGTGACGCAGGGGCAGTGTGTCCCCCCTGTGTGTGCTTGCATCAGCTCACACGGGTGCCTGCTCAGGATCACCGGGAGGAGAAAGGATGATCGAAAGGGTGAGAGGCCATCAGCGTCTTGAAGCCATTCACACTTTATGGTGTCTCAACTTCAAAACCAGGCAGTCCTGAAGGCCATTTAGTGTGGCAGTACAGGACTTCCTGAGAAGTTGAGCTCGTAAAATAAAGGCGCATCTGGCCACCAGCACATGAAAAGAGCCCTTTGCAAACAATAGTTCAGCAGAGGGAGTGAAAATGATTCCGAAACACCTGGCTGGTATTTCCCTTCAGGTTCCCAGAGGGTGAACCAGTTAAAAGGACTAGTTACAAGTCTTGGTTAACGGAACTTCCTCAGGCAAACTGATGAATCCAGAACATAGGGGCAGGAAGAGATGCTGAAAGCCAGGGCCATCCCCACCAGTGACCCAGGAAGGAAATCCTCCCTTGTAGGTGGAGGAGAACTGGGACAAGAGACTTCTGCTACTTCTGCTGGATCAGGTCAAAATATCTCTCTGGTCAGTGGTGTACTTGTACAATCAAGATTACAAAATGTGGAAGGCTATATGCCATTTTATTCATCAAATATCAGTGGAAGGCTATAATGCTAAATTGAATAGGATCTAATGCCACAGGGCTAAATAAAAATTTGTGTGATAAAGAAAAATAATGGAAAAGTTTATATTGTGTTTCTGCCTTTGCTGCCAGTGATCAGGGCAGGTCACCTCAGTAGACTGGGCCTTAATTTCCACATCTTTAAAATGGGAACAACAGTATTTCACATAATTGTGAGGTCTGAAATAATGTAAACAGAAACGCTTTGTCCACTTATCAGCTATCCAATCACGCTTTATTTTTCTTATTCTTAATTTAATAAAGAAAAACACTGGGGGCTGAGTCACATCCATAGCATAATTCTCCGTGACTCTTACAGCCAAGTAAAGCATCAGTCATCCTTGAAAGAGGGCGAGTTTTAGGCAGCCTCCGCCCTGTGCTCAATTTCTCTCTTCTCCTCCTGCAGCCAGTTCCTCCCTGAAGAAGCGATTCAAGCGGCGGGAGATCGAAGCCATCCAGTGTGAAGTGCGGAAAATGTGCAACTACACCAAGATCCTGTCCACCAAGAAGAACCTGGACCACGTGAACAAGATCCTGAAGGCCAAGCGGCTGCAGAGACAATCAAAGACAGGCAACAACTTCGTCAAGAAGAGGCGAGGGCGTCCCCGCAAGCAGCCCACCCAGTTCGATGAGGACTCCAGAGACCAGATGCCCGTGCTGGAAAAATGCATCGACCTGCCCACCAAGAGGGGCCAGAAACCCAGCCTGAGCCCACTAGTGCTGGAAACCGCCGCCGGCCAGGACGCAGTCATGGCCACCATCGAGGCGGTCATCCACATGGCCCGCGAGG